CAAGGTCTTCTCTGATGTCTTCTCTTTACTCTAATCTTATGTAAGTGTAATCAGAATCATGTTTACTAAGTACATGGTGGGTAGTGGGCTGTACTAATGATTTCCTTTGCTGACGTTTTGCTCTAGATGCGTTTACAGCTATGGCATGAAACACAGGCTACTCTCTGAAGTGTTCACTGACACCTATGGTATTTAGCTTCACTACCACTGATCTTAATATTACAGCAAATAATTACCTCGAAAATCGTCAGGGAAATCGTCGCCAAAATCTTCTTCCTTTTGAGCTTTCTGCTTCCATATTCGTTCGGTCATATCAGCAAGATTTTTTAGGCGTTCAATCTCATTCACTGGCGCAATTGAATTAGCACGCAACCGTGATAATACCATCGAAAAAACTTCCGGTGTGTATGAGCGCTACAAACAATTTAAATTCTACATGTTACGCTTTTACAAAAAACCTATCCTGAGCATAAATCTGTCATGGTGTAGTATTACACGAGCCAATATCTCTGTATGACGCAAAGAGGCCAATAATGAGAAATCCAGGATTTTTCTATCAACACATTCAGCTGGTAGAATCCATCAGATACTTGAGATAAACAAGGGAAAATCAAAAGCACACGCTGATTTTTATATGTAATAGACATGAAAGTTACGTAAAACGTATCATGCAGAACTACATCAAAAGGAAAGCGTTTCACAAAAGTGCTTTTTTTTTAAAAAAAGAAAGTCTTCCTAACTTAACTTTTTTTAAAAAGAAAGTCTTCCTAACAGCAGAAAATGAAAGATTAATTTTGAAGCTGTTAGACCCTGAGAAAAGCCCGGCAAATTCTTCGAAGCTCTGTAGAACTTTGTGAGCAGGTTATCCCGCAAAATTCGTGTGGAATTATCACTTCAAACGAGTTTGTCGTTAACATGGTTTCTGCGAAAAAACAAGAAAACCGCAACAAATTTTTTAATTTAGAACACTTTTTGAAGATTTTAAAAAAAAATTTGTAACGGGAAATACAAATACTGAAAGTATTACGACTGCTCGCAGATATCTCATGCTAGTGATGTTACTGAAATGCTCCCGCACGCCGAGTGCTTTATGCCGTGTCCCTCGATTCTGAGCTGCAAGTTGCAAAAACGCAAAGTGGCAAGAGGCTGTGTGTGCGCGTCTGTGTGTTCGCACTTTTTGTCACCCACTTTCAACTCGAGAACCAAAAAAGCTAGAAGGCTGAAACTTCTCGAGTTTCAGCCCGCATGCAGCAAGCAAGGATCCAAGCAAAAAGTGCTGGAAACCTATGGCTGAAAACTTTCCGGAAGTAACGAAATTTTGAACAATATCTCTCTAATCCAGTAAAAATTTATGGGGCCCATAGGAAACAATGGGAAAGTTGCCAGTTGAAAAAGCCAGCAAAAAGGTAGTTCATATTGCTCAAAAACTTGCATGTACTAACCTCATCATTGGCAATGCATTCGGCAAATTTTTCAGATGATAAATTCAAATAAACAGTAACAATCTGCTGGAGCAAAGTCCGAGGCTCCCATGTAAATCGACGTACAGCATCACGCACTTTCAGTTCGGTACATTTTGGCCCGCACAGTTGGGAGACATTGTAATCCAGCATTGAGGCTAACCTTTCACCCAACAGCTGAAAATTTCATAAAAATCAAAGAGCAATCCTACTCCAAACGGTCAAATTTGCTGTCACTCTATAGTAGCACTGAAGTAAGAAGATCTCAACGTATGCTGCTCGGTAAAGCAGTCAAAAAGCTGGGGAAGAAATCCGGGTGCACGCTGGATTCAAGAACACCGAAAAAGCCTTCGAAAAGCAAAATTCAATTCGAGAGGGTAACTGTTTTCAAGGAATTCTCAGGAGGATAAAACATCTGCAGTCATGCCTAACGGCGGTTCCTATGAACAACTGTTTTATAATTCCATTCACTTCTTATGTACTATGATGCTTAGGAGTGTGTGCGTGTGTGTGCAGTCGTTTGGTAAAGAAACAAACCCCCAAACAAGTAAACAGTGGGAACGAATAAATCCACGGCGTTACAGTGTTTGAGCTTCCATCTTCCAGAAGGAATGAAATATTAAAAGCACAAATCTTTCGTTTTTGAACAAAATCCAAGAAGCAAACCGGTTCGTAGAATGGTTCCGGTGCATCAGCCGTC